GAACAGCCTAAAAAAGTGCACCAACCACCTAAAAAAGAACCATACCGAGCGCCTAAGAAAGAACCATACCGAGCGCCTAAAAAGGAGGAGGAATATGACCACAACTTACTAAAAGCCGGCTTAGCAGCTGCAAGCATTGGTCTGAGTTATTATATATGGCGATGAACAACCCCTACGTAGCTGGAGTAGATTGTGTTTATACGACTTACACAGGTGAGAAAAAATATACCCAGGCGTCTTGGGTTGATGTCACGGGCATGTCCGTGAATTTGAACTACTCGGGAAAGAAGTTAATTCTTTGTACTATTTGCATTGGTACGAGCAGCCATGCCAACGTTGGCTTTAGGTTTCTGGATGAGAATGGCGTACTGCAGCCTATGCGTGCGAAGACGAACAACAGGGAGCCTGTGTATTTTTCCGTAGAGCCCAACCCCGGCAGCGCCGAGAATCTATCGGTTTGGACGTTTCACATGGTTACCGATTGCCATGGGAAGGTAAAGCTGCAGATACGCGTAGATGATACGGGGAGTGTTTGCATAAATAGCATAGAAAATCAAAGAGATAAAAAATATAACCACAAGACCATTAGCACTATTACGGTAATGAGTCTCTAGAAGCAAATTTATTTGCTGGTATATATGAACCCACACGCGAAGGAAGATTGGTTTTTACATTATCTAAGGGAAGAGGGGTACGAACGTAACGACGATTGGGTTGACACTGAATTGTGGGTGAAGGTTGGGGGTTTAGGATTGATTATATGCACTATTAGCATTAGCATGAGGAATGAATACGGTATTGGGTTTAGAATCGTAGATGAGAATAACCATCCGTTGCTGCCTTACAGGACGAAAAAGAATAAAAGGAATCCAGCTCATTTTTCATATGAACCCCACAATAGTCTAGATGATATAGCGCCGGTAACTTTTCATATGATAGCTAATTGTCAATACGCAAAGCTTCAGATTAATACTGACGCGGAACGTAAATTTAATATTTACGTTTTAATAAATGCTGTTTTTTCACAATCCGCTCTGCCGGATGATGCTGCTTGGAATCATAAGCCCATTAGCACCATGACTGCAATACCGCTAGTTCCGCATTA